AGACAGACAAAGATCACAAGTAGGCAGAGAGGCAGGCAGAGAGAGAGGAGGAAGCAGGCTCCCTGCCGAGCAGAGAGCCCGATGCGGGGCTCGATCCCAGGACCCTGGGATCATGACCTGAGCCAAAGGCAGAGGCTTTAACCCACTGAGCCACCCAGGCGCCCCCTTATGTGTGTTTCTGTTTGAAGATCTCTTAATATGTTTTACAAATAATTACAAACACAGTTCTTTATACTCAAACACTGCCTGAGAAGGACTGAACGTCTTCCGGACCCTGAGTAATGGGACCCTAAGTCTCTTTGGCTTTCAGCCGCACAAGAATGTCTTATGAATCCACAAACTGAGCTGCTTTGCACAGCACCACAGCTGTTACCTGAACACTTGATGGAAGAGCCTCAGGGACAGATCAGTGGATTCCCTTTTCCTGGATGTAAGAGGAGGATGCTGATTTTGAACCCTGAGCTCATGGCGAACAGCACTGTCCCTGCCGGCCAGATGAAGTTCATCTGACCAGTGTAATTTTACCGTCAGACACACGACAGCCTTCCTGCACTTAGCAACACCAGACAGCATTTCAGCCTTATGCTTCAGGGCCATTTTCAACAGTAAAGTGACCCAAAAAAGCTCAGATGTGGCACTAAATACACCCCGAAAAGGATACCTTTTTAAAATAGCATGAGACTTGAAACAAAAGGCAGAGTACTGCCTTGTTCGATCTTATCTGAGAACAAGCCTACTGGACAACACGAATTTTTTACTGCTCTATGTCTGAATGACTGGGAAAGCACTATGAGTATAGATTTCGAGGGCACAAATTTTAGCAAGTTTGCAAAAACAGAACCTGCATATAATGACAGATAGTATATTCTTTTAACTCTGCCACTGCTCATTCAACAAAATCTATGGCCAGTGAAAAGACCAACTGTGTGTTCCAGTCCCATACATTGCTCTATGATCCTTTCAACAGGAACCCCAGAGAGACAGCTCGCCAGGCCTGCTTACAGCTTGAGAACCTGCTCATCCCTGCAATGATTTAGAAATGGCTCCGACTACATATAATAACTCAAAGCAGACTGTTCAAAATTCTGCTGGCAATGACATACATGCTCAAGACATCCCTGTTAAGCTTTAATAACTCCCTTCCAGCTCACCCTGAAGAACTTAGAACATTCACAGGTATTGTCTTTTTAATTTAGCGGTTAGATGACTTTCCCAGTGTCACAAAGCTAGTAGGTGGCTGAGCCAGAACCTGACTCCAGGGATCTTACGTACCAAGGTCCTTTGGTCCTTTGAGCAAGAAGGCAGGCATCACCAGCCCTGGAAAGCCTATTTCCTTCTAGATAACATGCTGTTGATAAGGCCCCATCTGTGATGGTCTTCTCCCTTTTTAGCAAAATTATCAAAGCCCCTCTCTGTTTTTATAGAATTCTGCTTTTATTTCTAATGTAGCACCTGTTATGGGGTCTGCCTTATTATGTTGTAGGCAACTGGGTAGATGCTGTTTTTTTCCTAACAGCACACTAAGGTTAGGTTCGAAGTCTACTATCTGGTAGACCTTTCTGTAGGGAGGGAAATGTTACATCAGTCTGTCCTGCCCATCATAGTAGCCACTAGCCATACATGACTACTGAGCACTTGAAATGGCATTTGGGGTGACTTAAGAATTTTAAATTGCATTTCATTTTAATTAACTTAGTTACGTGTAGTTAGCAGTTACTGTGTTGGACATGACCGATCTAGAGAACAGTGTGACATGAAGGAAAGGCCCTGAGACTTGACAGGCCTGGGTCAGATCCTAAGCTATGTCATTTACTAACCATGCAAGCTTAAGCAAGTTACTTAAGTTCTCGGAGCCTCAATTTGGACATGTATAAAATGGGGATGACACCATTTACCTTGCAGTATTTTAAGTTTGTCAATGTGTGTTTATATGTGATATATACATGTGTGTATGTATGTATGCATGGAGACGACCCCTTGAAACTGCTATATGTTCATGCAAGTCATTAAATTTGTTTCCACCCACTCTGGTAAATATGCTGGGACAACACTGGAAAATACTGTTAGGAAAAATACTAGTAGTACTATTCTGTAAAATCGTGGAACGCAGCTCACTGCTTCCACCCAAAATGGCGAACCATACTTAGGGATATGAGAAGGATTCTATAAACCGGGGAATGACGGACCATCCCTCCCCACAGTACAGGGGAAGAGGTACACAGTCTTCTCTCTGTCCCCTCTTGCACCAGAAACTCTTATTAGAGAAATACAAGTGTCCTCTTTCCTTCTCTGCCTTCCCCTCTGGGAAGGACAAACAAGCTGATCCAGAAAGAACAAGAGAAAGGCAAGGTTTGTGGCTTCCTTCCAGGTTCATCACAGTGTAGCAGCAGGGAGCAGCACACCCCCAGGTCCATCCTCTCCCTCTACTTCTACAACAGTCTGCGTAATCTGGCCTCAGAAAAAAAGAAGTTCCTATCAAGGTAATGAACTTTGAATATTTTTAAGAGTTTCTGGCATATTTTCTTGGACCGTTTACGAATCGACATAAAAACTTACCCGTTTGTGTTGCCTTGCGAGTTTCTCTTTCGCCTCTTCCAGCTCTTTCTGGATTTTGAGAACGTGTTTGTTCATCTTACGAATCGTGGAGTGCAAGATTTCCCAAACAAATAATCTTAAAGTAACATAGTGTTTAGTTAATATATGTTCAAGTATACTTACAAGAAAATAAGATCTCTCAGCTTTTATAACCTACTCATGCTGGAGGTCTTCTTAGTAGGCAGAATTGGTCCTATTTCTCCAGCAATACTTAAAAATTTGTTTGTATTATAAATTGTGCAAACATCTGTCTCTACCCATTAGACTCAGGTAAGCTTTCTGAAGGCAGTACTGGGTCCTTGTCATTTTTATTTCCATCCCCTACTAGACATGCATAAAAGGTATGTGTATGTACTCAATGAAGTGAAATGGCAAACTAGAAAAATATATTTTTTTATATTTATATATATATTTTAAATATATATATTTTTTATTTTATATATTTATACATATAAATATATATATATTAAAAACAAAATTTTCTCTCTTCTAAATTTAAACATTATGTATTGGAGTTGTCTCAAAATGGAAACCTAATCTGAGGCTCACTTCACATGCTTTAAGCTACTTAACTATAGCATGTATTCAGCCAATTCTCTGGAACATTTAAGAAACTTACTAGTTCACAACAGCTATCAACTGGCTGGGCTTTCAAGAATGAGATAAATTTTACGTGTCCGGTTCTGTATCCGCAAACTGCTCAAGCATGGTCACCTTGTAGGTGCTTTAAAACGTTTGTTGCATAAATGGTTTATTTTGTGAAGCAATGTCTTAACTATATCTGTCTACGAACTAGTTCTTCCCAATCCCAAGATACAGCACAGAAGAGGACTTCCCTCTAAACATTTTGACTTGGATGAGGATAGTTTCAGTGTAAGATAATAAATCAGCCAGTCATGAAACCCAGTCGAGAGCATTAGCGGACAGGGCGTAAGAGCAGAATACATCAGCTCTGGAAGGGGTGGTCAGGGAATACTTTGCCGAGTTAGGAATCCTTGAGCTTAGGGTTCAAGAACTGCTGGAGCTTTTGAGCCCGTTACCCATTCAAGAATGCCCGTGTTTGAATTCTGACTCTGCACTTAGTTGTGACTTCGGACAAACTACTTAAACACTCTGCAGCGCTTTCCTGTTTCGTACAATATAGATACTGTAACTCCCTCTACAGTGTGGGGTGAGGATAATGGCTACCAAATAACCTGGGCGATCAAATACGAGAAATGTCATTGTCTTCGTTTATGAATGCCAACCTGGCTGATACGGTAACTTTAGATCAAACCCTTCCACCCTAACAAGTTCATTTCAGACCAGTGTCCTCTGCAATACCAAATACAATGAAGAGGATAAAGGCTGTGCGGATTTTTTGATCTTTATAAGCACTATTCCTTTATTTACTGTTTAGAGACAACTCCTACTGTTCCAGTCCCAATCAGTTCGAAAGCCTATGAACTCACCTCATGAGTAAGAACCAAGCTTAATGAAGTCTCTTCCTATAGGGCAAACGGGCCTAGAATGAATCTTCTGCATTAAATCTAGTTTTTTTGTGACTGAGGTGAGACACCCTACCTTCCCCATGGGCACTCAGGTGCCCATCAGACTTCTCCTGATTCGATTTACATGTGTGTCCTTAAGAGACACTGCAAAACTGTCCAGGAATCTTTTGCCAAGTCCAGTCCTACCAGATCGGACCGTCGGTACATTAATGATGTCTGAGCCAGAATTTGGAGCTCATGTATGAGACCAAATATAAGTCAATTCTTAAAGAATACAAACTTTGTAAAATAATCCACACTTACCTAGTAAAGTCTCGAGATAGTTCTGAAGAGAAGATCCAATTTGCCACTGCAGCACAGTCAACAATCTGTGTACGGATCATCTTATCTACTAGTACAGCAATCATCTACAATGAGAAAACAGCTACTAGGGTAAATCACACTTAGATGGAATCCCACCCATGCTACAAAACCAAAATAGAAAGTCTGAAATTCATTTTCAGCGGTTATGGATCAGATCAGTTTGATCATTAGGTCTTAAGCTTTATTCTGCATTCTGCTTGGCTCCGGTACTTACTATAAGACAGCAAGAGAACTATAATGCCATTAAAGATGGAGCAAAAAGAAAAACTGTTAGTGGTAACACCTAAAATTTTTTGAAAATATTAGAGAATACCAAAATATATAAACTCAGCTGAATCCTTAAATTAAAAAATCTAAGGATGTTTTATTATAAAAAAAGTGTTAATATATTCAATTTATTTTAATCTTCTTTAAAACCTACAGTATGAAAACAGTAACTTGAGTTTTGAGAAATCTGGAGCTTCTTTGTAGAAATTGGGTAGACTTGACAACTATTTCCTTACCCAAGTGGTAGACTCTTCTAAACAACAAGCATTCTTACTACATATTTACTACATGTACATACTACAACATATTTAAAAAATGTGTTGACATATTATAGTCTAAAACCAAATCATATACTTGCTCTTTAATGAATGAATCAAATACCATGATTTCTACAGCCTTAAAAAAACAGACTCAAATTTCATGTTTTAAAACAATGGTATTTATTGCCTTATTTTTATATCTATACAATCAGAGCCTCAACATGTCTAATTAGAATTTTTACCTGTGGATGGTTCCTCCAGACCTCAAACATAACTCTCAGAACATGTAACTTTCCTTCATCACTCTCAGCTAGGGTTTTGAAGACTTCATGAAACCTTTTGACAGTGGGGGTAAAAAAATACCACATAAAAACTTATTCATTAAGGATTTTAAGTTTTTCAAAGCTTTTTTGATGCTACTCAATTTACAGTGTAATACATAAATACAAAATAACTGAATGTTAACCATTAAGGAAATAAAGGGTATGATTAGGAATTTATGGTTTGTATGAAATTTGCCACAAATCTTAGGTTTTCGATACACCACTGTTAGCCTAGGACTATAGTTAACTGTGTATCTAAGACTAGGTGAGGGCTAATGAACCGTCTCCAAACACAGGCAAAGTATCCTGCCTGCACTTTCTGTGGGAACCCTGCAATAGAGACTCGAAGCTGAGATGGCTGAGCAGCCCAGTTTCTCTGCTCAGCTGGAGGAGTATCTGTAGGCTCTTCCTGCTTCTGCATTGTCTGAGGAGTTAGAAAGCTCTGTCTTCAGTACCAACCTTTGGGTCACTCCCCAAAATGTAGCTGGCTCTATTTCTGCTCACCTTCCTCTAGGAAGATGTTTAGACAGGATGGGAGCTTCTTAACGATATATAGGATTGTCCTATGGACCCAGGTTTCTCACTAGTTTCTCTAGAAGTCTACCTGAAAATAGGTACCTGCCATGTATATGGCAAATTGTCCATACGGACTGACAGGAGCCAAACAGGATGTTAGTACTACAAACCAGAACCGCTATATTAAAGTATATGACGATACTATTAAGATCTTCATGTTCAACAATTTCAGCTAAAAATTACTATACCACTGGTATACACCAAGCAACATTCCGAACCCTCAAAATAGAGTACGTGTTCTTGTTGCACTTACTTTGCAAGAGCACTAAACGAGTGGCTGAATGATTTGGCTGCCAAGTGTAGCAGAGTCTGTACAAAGACCTCGATTTTCAAAGGGTTAAAGCTGAATCCTTCATCTGAAAAATATTCCACAGTAAGAAAGCTAGAAAATTTAAGTACAGCAAGTCCCTGGTCTGCCACCTAGAGCGCCAGACGGATGGCGCGCTCACATTCAGGCATTAGGTCAGACATGTCAGTCATTTCTCTGCACACCCATGGAGCAATAAAAGACCACTGCTGATTTCAAATACTCGAAATAGGAAACTAAGCATAATCTTAATTCTTAGTTTTTGGGGATTGTTTCCCTAATTCTTTTATATGATCCATTTCTTTTACAGATACAACATAAACTTTGTTCATATCTTTCTGTATGGTGGCAAAATAATATATTAATAAAAAATTCAATAAACACTTAACAGTTAAGTCTAAGTCTTAAGATGTCTGACCATGTCTGAATTTACAACCATCATTTCAACATCTATATCTTCTATCATAATACAAATTTCTTAGAAAAATCCAAACAAAATCCTAATAGTAAGTAACCCAAGGGCCATTCATGTTTTGTTTTGATTAAATCATTTACTATGCATGTGTCCTTATGTACAAATCTAACAAAAAATTTTCCCCGAAATGTCACCTAGTTGTCCCAGTAGGCTTTTTACCTGTTTTACTGATTTGTCTCTTCTCGTGCCAGTATCACATTATTCCAGCTACTGCAGTTTTCATGATATCTCTTAATAAATGATAAGGCAAGTCCCTCTCATCATTTTTTGACTTGTTCATTTACTGATTCAGGTAAACTTACAAATCATTTTGCCTATTTTGCCACTCTTGCCCAGAGAAAAACCTAGGGTTAGGGTTGGAATTACATGGTACATACTCAGTATGTGTTAAACATTCTTATTATAATTGTTTAAAAACTGGTGAAAAAGTCAACTTTATAATTCACCAAGTCCTCCCATTCAGGAACCTCTCTAAAGTGGAAACGGGAAATGTTTAAAAATTTCTAAATGGTAACAGCATATTTTATGTTGTGTTTAGTTTCTAAACTGAACATCAGCTATCATAGGGAAGTGAGGTCTCACTTTACATAAGGGAGAAAGTAGCTGGGGTCTAGGAACCGCGGACACCAAGCAGGCCTTGGGTTAGGAGCAGCTGTTGAGATTTCAGAGGAGCTCACATTCTGCCTTCTCTCTATGCCGTGAGCCGGCCTAGGCACAGCGCTCCTGAAGAAATACTCAGTCCTCTTACCATCATCATCCTCCTGGTTAGGATTTGGCACATCTTTCAGAATGCTGAAGATTTCATCATTGGTTGCTTTACTTTTAAAGGCAACAGCTAAACAGAGGGCAACTGAGTGTCCAGGAAGAGAATCTAAGCACAGAATGGGGAAGAGGGTAGATCAAGTTTTAAGACTGTTCTTGTAAATAGTTAAATAACTAAGAAACTTCAATGGCTGTCCTTTGACAGTCCTCAAATCCCTAGGCTTTTATTAAGCCAAACAGCTGAGACTTGATGTATTTCTTTCATTTTGGTCAGTGCCCCTTCTTCCTCCTTTTCCCTAAGACAGTGACAAATAAGTTTGAGTCTGAACAGGGGAAGGCTGTCAGTTTGATAGGTTTTTGGCTTTTGTCTTTTGCTGAGGCCATACACTTGCATCTGTATAAGCCAGATGCTCATAGGCTGTGACTCCATGTACTTAATACTATTAGTTATCCGCCGAGTCCTTAATTGTATAAAATTTGCACTAATATATACTGTATGGCATCCCCAGGGCAACTGCAAATCTTAACATAAGGCAGACAAAGGGGTAACAAATAAAATGATAATCCTGACATAGAACAGGAGTTGCTAAGCATTTTGAAGTCAGTTACAATAGGTCACATGTGCTGTGTAGCTTTTCTTTGGAAATGGGAGAGAAAATAAGTGGAGAAACAGAAAATACCGTCACTAAAGGTCTACATTGTATTGGAGAACCAAGGCAGTCACAAAAAACGTAGCCAGAGCAACACAAAACTGGCTTGCTAAAGGTTAGTATTCATTGGAGAGGAGCCTGGGCCAGACCCTAGAGAGAATACAGGAACTAAAGAGAGAAAGGGCTTTCCAGATTGAGGTTAATGGCACAAATAAAGGCATAACTGAGAACCATGACCCTAGAATAAATAAAAGAGGAAGTGGCCTGGCTGGAGCAGGGGTCCTCTTGGGAAGAAGTGACAAATGACACAGTAGAGACAACTGTTAGGAGGGCTTTAACTATTAGGCTTAGCTGCTTCTATGGGGAAAAAAGAAAGCTCAACATTCAACGAAAGTTTGAGCTCTTGCTATCAAAGACTACCTTATGGTTCTCTGGGCCAGTATAAGGCAGAACTCAGAACTCCGCACATGCGCGTGCTGCCGCATCAACTTTGCTCTTGCAGGAAAGCACAGCGGGAAGAGTGAAAGTAGGGATGTATGTGAGTTGGGGCTCTACCACTCAGAAGCCATTTCACTCTGGCTTCACCTCTTTGAAGAGATTCTTCATTGTAAAAGTGGTATAATAAACACACTATTTCTCAGAGCTGCCTCAAGGATTAAGTGGGATAGTGGCAAAGGAAATGTACTCAGCATTGGGACCAACGGAGTTCACTTTAAGGAAAACAGGTGTAGTGTGAGGTGGAGGTGGAGAACCAGGGGCACAGGAGAAGGCAAGGGAGGGGAGTGAGTTTCAAGATGTAGGAACTGCCAAACACCGTGAAGTGGGAGGCTCATGGAGGAGCCATATGCAGTGCCATCTGTGAAGACTACTGTGGAAACCGCTGCACCCAACTCTCTACCAGCGATCACCAATGCACACCTTACCTTCCTTAAGCATAAGGCACAAAATGGCATATCACAGTATAGGCCCTCTGACTCACAGCATAATCTCAGACATGAGGTAACCAAAAAGTAAGAAAACCGTATTTAAGAATTGACTTCTAGAGGCATACTGCTGGTCAAAATACAGTCAATGTGCACCTATGTTCCCACACCTGAATGGGTACCACATGCTAATCAATTCAGATAATCTCTACCACCGTGACAGATCCACTCATTTTAATAAGTTCTGGCTCTACATTCAACTTGCTATACTTAGCAGCATATTTAAGATAATCTCATGGATATAACATTATAAAAAATATTAAGAAAAAAACTTACAAGCCAATAAGTAAACCATGAATCTTTAAAATGATGACAGGGCAAACAAAATAATAGCGACTAGTATTTCAAACAGACAAAATATAAACCCAAGAAAAGAGAAAGTTCACTTTTTCCACCTTAAATAACTGACTTCAGAGAATATTGGTATCAGTACTTTTAAAAGACAACAGGATGAATTGTATTCTATTACTTACTGCTACTTTCATCTCCGTACTTGTAAATGCAGGTTGGGTTTGCAGGACATAGAGCTGAGAAGGTAGGAGGAACAATATCTAATATACGCTGATGATAAGACAACCTATAATACAAATAAGAGCCTCAGAAAATACTGTTCATCAGTTCCATTACTTGGTAACCTCCAATTTACCAAGAAAAGTCCCATCTCCAACACCCTGGACGCAGCTGACAGCCAAGAAGCCAAAGGGGAAAACAAGTCCTTTAAGCTTTTGTCTACGACAGCATACTGAAACTCAGGCCTTCTTCAAAACCTACTGGTTCACAATGAGGGGAAGCCTGGTGACCAAGGAAGTGGAGTGGTACTGGGGTAGGGTGGGGCAGAGGATAGTCTCCATGATGGAGACACTGATTATACTGTAGCAAATAAATGTATATCAAGGCTAATGGGAGCCAAGTTTTCTACTGCCTGAGAAGGTATTTAGAAATCATGGCAAGGGGAAGGCTAGAAAAAATGAAGTAGAGTTGGAGGGATACACACACCTTGGTTGATATAAAAAGTTGTGTGTGTGTGTGCATAAATGTATATACTATCTTTGTCCATCCCAAGAGCAATGAGCACAGTAAGTGTCCAGATCTTGGTTCCTAAATACTATACTTCACTATTAGGAACCTGGGCTCCATGAGGGGTGCCTGGGTACCTCAGTTGGTTGAGTGTCAGACTCTTGATTTTGCCTTAGGTCATGAGCTTAGGGTCCTGGGATTGAGCCCTATGTTGGGGTCGAGTCTGCTTGTCCCGCTCCCTCTGCCCCTCCCCCTTGCTTGTGCGTGCTCATGCGTGCATGCGAGTGCTCTCTCTCAAATAAATAAAATCTTAAAAAAATCAAAAACAGAAACAAAAAACTTGGGCTGTGTGACTAGATGATTCCAGGGGAGGGGTAAGGAAACACAAGTTGAGCCTGATACAGCTTATGCCAAAAATAAGGAAATGCTTAATGAATGGAGGGGGACAGTAAGAGGGAAAAAAAAGGACACAGGAGGCACAAGAGACTCCGCAGTAAACAAACTGGGGGCAATTTAGGCATCAAAATTATTAATGACAGCAAGAGATTATAACTCATTGAAGGAAACAGAAATCTGTTAGTCCCTACTATATATATAAACACAGGACTAAATAAATAAATGGGTGAAAAAGGATAGTGCCTTCTTACAGGAGAATACCAACTAATAAATGTAGGGAAAAAATGGAAAAAGAATCATTACTTGGCAGTCATCACAGTGGTGGCAGATAGAAGCAGCTGTCAGTAGACATCTGATGCAAAACAGAATAGGAGTATGATCTCAGGATATCTCCCACAAAATATTAATCACAAAGGGAATAATGGTGAATTTAAGGTGGAGAAGCATGGCAGCCACTGACATGACCAGTGCCCAAGGTTAACATTTCCGGGGGGGGCGGGGCTCATGTGCCTCCCGATGTGATGCACGAGGAACACTACCAACGATGCAAGTCCTGAGTCTGGTCAGGAACACACATGAAGGCAACTCAAGAAAGAAAGGCCTAGATTCTTTAAAACATGAAAGACAGGAAAGAGTAACTGGTCAAGTGAGGAACATGAAGGGAATGACAACTAAATGCTACCCATGTGTTCCTGATGGGATTCTGGCCCTGTAAAGGCAAAGACATTATGGCGATGGGTTGGCAAGGTTTGGTCTGTGGGCTGGGTGGCCGTATTCCTACACTACAGCCGGTTTCCTAATCTGGAGGACTGCATGCTGGTCATTTAGAAGCGTCTTTATTTCGGGGAAAGATACAATGGATTCTTAAAGGGTGAAGGGCCATCACTTCTGCAGCTTGTCTTCAGAAGGTTCAGAAAAAGACCAATGTGATGAGTGTATACACACAGAGCAGGGAAAAAGAAGTGAACATGTGAACAAGTGTGAAGTGTTAACAACTAGGCACTCTAAATGAACAGGGTACAATGTTCTTTGCACTATTTTGGCAACTTTCCTAAAATATGAAATTATTTCAAAGTACATTTGACAAAAAAAAAAATTGGCCTAATTCACATACAATCCAGATGGCATGGCTGCTTAATTTTTTTTAGCCTGAATCTTCACTAAAAACTGAAAGGGAAGAGAGGCAGGTACTTGGATTCAAAAAATGATATTCTGGTCATACATCACACATGCAAAGAAGAGACACTCCCCGCCTCTGCCACAGAAATTAGGAGAACTAAGTTAAGGAGAAAACACAAAGAACTTACCTCATACATTTTTCTAGAACTTCTCTTACAAACTTTGGTTTGGGACTTTCAGGATCTTGAGTAAGACAATCTGACCTAATGAGAAAATGGTAGTTTTATAAGCTATTACACACAATCTGCACTTACACCTAATGTGTACTTAGCCATAATGAATTTCCTTGTACCTACATTCTTTCATTTATACACAACACACACACACACACACACACACACACACACACACACACACACGTATAACAGAAATAATTATTTCAGACTATGTAGGAGATTGCTTTTATGTTATAGCTTTAAATATTAAGTTTTTTTTATTATGACAGACTGCAGAGAAAGGAACAATAAAACATACCACCACTTACCAATCTTCCCAGCTCCAACGGAACTGGAAGTTACTTAGATGATGGGAAAACCAATTAATAAACCTATAGAGAGAAGTGGGCAGGGGGTGGGGAGAAAGAAAAGGATGAATGGTTGCAGTTTGTAACAGGAACTTATATAATCCTTCAGACAAATAAAACCCTACTTTATAGGGTTAAATGAAAAGCATATGCCCCTACCAAAGCTGTATCTTCTGCTGTCACTTAGCCTTTTCTCTATAAATCCTAGAATTCATCTTCTCCCCAAAATAACAGTGCCCTATTTCACTCCTTGTAATAGTACTATCCTTTTTAAGCAAGTAACAGATATGAGTACCTGTTTTGTGCCAGGCAGTACATATACACGCGTGTGTATGTGTCTATCTATCTACCTATCTATATATATTTGAAACTCACAATAACTTTCAAGTAATGTACTATTTCCCCCCATTTCACTGATAATGAAACAGAGGCAAAAGAAAAAAGATGAAAGGAATTGCACATAAAACATTTTACAAGTGGCAGAGCCAAAGTGTAGTCTCTCATCACATTATACCCTTTTTTACCACAAACAAAATTGTGTGGACACAATAAAAATATTGATCTAACTAGATAGAAATCACCTTAGTATACTAGTATACTTGGTATACACAGTATAATGCTGTGAAATTTTAAGAGCCAAATATGTATCTGCTGAATTTCAAATGGCATAAATGTGATATCCAACACAACTCCTAGTTTTATTAATTAGGTTGGGAGAATAAAATCAGAAGACACTTTCTTAAGGCATGTCCCTTACAGATCTGTAATTGCAATCACTGAAATTACTCAGGATAATAGGTGTGACATACAACAGTGCTTACTGATAAGTTCAGATATGCAATCTGAACAATGGACATGAAAGATCATGGTGATTGGGAAATGTTCAGGACCTGTCCTGATCTGATCTGGGAAACTGACAGAGGTAAGAAAGAACACCAGGTGATAAAGGTGGTATACAGGCCTCCCCCAAAAGACAGTGGGCATGCGATTACTACTCCTCTAATAATCCAATATGGTCTTTTGTATAAACTGAGTCTTCAAGGTATAGTTAATGCAGAAGCTAATTATTTTAGAAGCAGACACTATCTATAAACAAAAATAGATACATATTTATACATAACAAATATACAGTATTAGATTCTGCTTCTGCATAGGTGATAATTAATATAAAGCCCATTAAAAGCTTACATGTCCAATTACAAAGGAAAAAGTATAATTATACCAAAGCACCAAACAAGTAAACAATGAATGAAATTAAAGAAAACCTCAGCATGGCCATCATTTCATACTGAAGGCTGTATTAGAAAGCATAATGTTACATTATGAGTTTTATTATGATACAGAGGATTATTTGGGGGAGGCAAGAAAGAAAAATCAACTTAGAACTTCTAAAAAGGCAAATGTTTTACTGACCAAAATTTTTTATACTGTACAGGGAGTAGAAGCTGCTACCCATCAGTATAGGAAATAAGGCAGTTACTGTACCTGTCCACACATGTAGTGTTCATCGTGTCCAAACGCATGTATAACATTTCAGTTGCCTGTGCAAGCTGTGAATTTGAGGATAAGGAAAACTACTCTCCATCCTCTTTCAAAATAAGTTGTGATTAAAAAAAAGATTTCTTAGAAGTCTGTATAATGACTAATAATGCTGAGCATCTTTTCATATAATTGATTTTTTTAAAAACATCTCTGAGTTACCAATGATGTACAATAAATCGGAACTGCATACACCCATGAAATAAACACAGTGAATATTTCCATCACTTCTCCTCTAAACTCTCCCCATGCTCCTTTGTAGTCCTTTCTTCCCCTCCTCCCCTGTGTCTGCAAGCAAATATTGGTCTGCTGTCACCGGATCACTTTGCATTTTCTAGAATTTTGTATAAATGAAATCATATGGTATAAATTCTTATTTGTTTGGCAACTTATATTCAGCATACTTATTTTGCAATTCATTCAAATTGTTGCCTGCACGAAAAATTTGCTCCTTTTATTCCTAAGTAGTATTCCATTGTGTAGATATGACAAATGTGTACATTCACTCATGTACTGATGGATATTTGGGTTGTCCCATTTGGGGTTATTATAAAGTTTCTATGAACATTAATGCCCATTAATTAATGTTTCTATGAACATTAATGTAGGGTAATGTGCTTTCATTTCCGTTAGGTAAATTCCTAAGAATGGAATGGCTTGATTGTGTTTAATGTATGGTTACACATATGTTTAACTTTTGAAGAAATGGCCAAACTTTCCATGAAGTGATTTAAACCCACAGTAAGAAATATTTAATAATCTTTTAAAACCAGGCCAAAGAGAGTACGTTTAAAAGCAAAGGGAAGGATACAACTTGGGGAAGAGAGCCGGGCTGCAGTTTGCACAGCTCGATGAGCAGCGTAGTGTACATCACATCAATGTGTGGGGGAGCTGGCAGCTGGAACAGCTCTGCAAAGATCACCTACAAAAGAATCATGAGTCAGAACTCAATTCAACCAGGACCTTTGTACTTCCATCAGAAACACCTCAATATTCTAAATGTAAACTCTAACTCCATGGCATTCATACTGAAAAAATAATTACTTTTTAATCTGTAAAATTATGCTCTTTAAAACATGGAGATCTGTAACTGAATACTGTAATGAAAATTTCATCTTTCTGTTACTCAATCAAATAAGAATATGCAAAAATTAGTGCTTATTTGATACTGCCAAAGAATTGTGCAATTAAATTCCAACTCTGGAAGTATCAGAGGTGCTTCAGGCACGTGGTCCATCAGGGTGTCATTCCTACAAGAGTAAAAACTCTCACTAGATTTTTGAGAACAGGAACTGAGGACATTCCAGGCTGCTACTTAAAAACTGGTACCCGCCCATCTCTTTGGCAGTTAAGATTTCTTTGCCAAGATTGTTGTTCAGAAACTTGTTTCTACCCTCCCTATATAATCCATGGACCACCTATCTAGATTCTAAAGCCTGGTCTGCATTCTTTCTTCTCACTCCCATCTCTCTGTAGTTCATTCTGATGAATTTTTACATGTTTTTCAGATTTGAAAACATGACATATTTTGCATTTCAAGAGATGTGTCAATGAGTCAGGTTCATAGTCTAAACATACTCTCAAGTTGTATAAAGACAGGACAAATGCCATATTTCTAAGAAAGCACACAAATGCATTATGAATAAAAAGTGAATCTGTAATATATCATAACTATGCTCACTTTCATGAGTATTTTAACACAAAGGAATAACGCAATCAACAATCTGAGTCACACACATGTCAAGTGAAAACTGTTTTTTAGAACATAAATCTCTACAAGGTGCTCAACTTTACTACTACTATCACCCTTCTTCTGCATGACTTAATATGGGGTCAAAAGCATCATTTCTTCTTCTCACTTCCAAAAACAATGGGCTTTTTTGATTTCTAGGAATAAATACTTATACTTATTCCTACCTTGTGATACAGAGAATAATATACTAGTAAAGAGTATGCTAGCAATAACAGGCCAGATAAACACAATTAAGGATAAGTTATTTGCTTAAAATAATACAATATTTTATTTATTTTTAAAAAATATTTTATTTATTTGAGAGAGAGAGAGAGAGAGAGAGAACACAAGCAGGGGGAGTGGCACAGGGAGAGGGAGAAGCAGGCTCCCTGCTCAGCAGGGAGGCTTGATCCCAGGGGCTTGTGGGGCTTGATCCCAGGACTCTGGGATCATGATGTGAGCCATAAGGCAGGTGCTTAACCGAATGAGCCACCCAGGCACCCCAACAATACAATATTTTAAAGTATTCAAGCCAATTATATATCTGGTAAGTGGACACAATGTACTGACAGGACTGGAGGTAACTTACACTATCCATGAATGAAGACATACTATGTAATTTATTCCAAAATTCCATTTGGCTCAAACACCTCTTTTTACTTTACTAACATGGCTAACAGAGCACCAAAACTAACAGCAATTTCCTTGCTCCTGTGTTACTTTTCAGTACCTGACAAGTTGCAAGGAAAAAAAAAAAGCCAAGAGTCCTTTACACTTTAAAATCAGCAGAAAGATTCTGAAATTTAGAAACATGCTCCATGTGGAATGCATACCTCAACTATATGGTAGTTCAAGGGGATCTTGTTCTTCCCTGGATAGCTCACCAGCTGTGCAGCGCTACAAAAAAATGCAAGTGAGGTTTAATAAGTATACAAAGATACAAAAAATATATATAGATAGATAGATCTTTCTCTCTCTATATAAATGTATCTCAAATAGGCAGCTCTAAAAGCAGCGCATTTGGATTTAAGGAAAAGAAATCTTTCCTGAAATGCTCTAGATTTCGTACTTCACTTAACTACAGCACATATTACTTTATCACAAGGAAACTCTTTAATGCAGCCCCAAATCCTTGAAAGATCAAAAGGAGTATATTCAAATCTACTAACTTTGAAAGTGTTAATAGGGTAGACCATTCCACAAATACTATATTCCTTTCCACCTTAAAATCTAAACCAAAACTTTCCAAGGCTCAAGGAAACACTAAAAATAAACTTTTCCAAAGCGTGGTATCTAAATGCTAGAAAGCTATTAATATTCTTTTATTCTCATAGCATTCATACCAAAACCAGTTGATTCCAGTTAGTCTGTCCATAGCAGATGGCAAATATCCACCAAAAAAAGCCAACATCATGTGCACATTACTATAAAGCACCACAGTGTTATGAAGCAGCCAGAGAGATACTGTTTGAGTGTGAAAGGCCGTGGAAAAGCAAAGAAGTGTCTTTAGAGATTGGTCTTATTTAGCAAGACAGGGCATCAGAAGAGAGGAAGTTTTTCTTACACTCTTAACATATATTTTACCAAATCAAAATTGCTACTTTTTCTCCACTCAAAAAGTTACCATGAAATCTTACCAAGTTTTCCTTTCCTTCCAGTGGGACTTAATGATGCAGTGAAGATTCTCTTCTATGACAAATCTTTCAACTGAATGACTCCCTGGCATTACAGGACCCTGGAAAGAAAACCAAATGTATATACTACAAACCTAGAAAAAGATACTGCCTTTCATTTATCCAACAAATATTTGAGAGCTTATTATGATCCAGAAACTGTACTGGGTATTAAAGATAAAAGTTCAGAAGTGTGAAAATTCCTATCACCATCACAGTCACTTCTATCAAATACAATTAGAATGGCAGCTGCAGCATTTCTGCTAGTGCCCCTGACACCATACCATCATCATCCATCTCAATTAAACCAAAGAGTTCATATTATTAGCTCTATATGGTTTGATTTTTTTTAAACCACGAGGTAGATTAACTTCTATAATAAATATGGAAAGAGGAAAAATTTTTATTTCAGTTACTGTATAGACATAAAAAGTCATATATTGCATTGAAAGACAGCCATACTCAGGGCACCTGAGTCAGTTAAGCGCCTGTCTTTGGCTCAGGTCATAATTTCCGGGTTCTGGGATCAAGCCTTGCATCAGCTCCCTGCTCAGTGGGGAGCCTGCCTCTCCCTCTGCCCTTCCCCCTTGACTTGTGCTTTCTCTCTCTAATACATAAAATCTTAAAAAAAAAAAAAAAAAGACAGCCATATTATATTGTTTAAGAAAATGGTTAAAAAACGTTACCTGCATGTTATTATTCTTTTTTAAGGTATATGCATAACAAAGAGGTCCAAAGAGTTTTATTTTTACTTATTATTTACTCTTGTAGACTTTTAATCTCTATTAATTTTTTCTAATAAACTTTTTTTTCAAAGACCAAAACAAAAGCACCAAATCCTTTTCATTTTTAGGGGAACAAATCTTTTATGTTTATGCTCTTCTGGCAAAGGAATATGGACACATTAGAGAGGCAATACCAATTAAGTATACGTTACTTAAAAATTAAGTAGAAATACACAAGCAACATCAATTAAGAGAAAAACATTTTGAGGTTCTATTCTAGTTTCTCTTGTACAAACAAGTGCCTAACTACAAAGATTCTAGCCATCTTAAATGTATATTAGATTCCAATTAGATATCCCTATTAGACCATTACATAATGTCGACTAAAAGCATTTCACTATATATGCAGTAAAGTGGGTAGCAAACTGATAATTCTGTAAATACAAATGATTATCTGACAGTGTTTTACTCTGAGACCAGTTATACATATACTAAATTTTCACTGCCCAAAAGCAATTTACGGTAGAACAGAAAAGAGAAAACAGGAGAAAGAAAACGCCAAGTTTGATCTCAGGTGGCAATACTGGTTCTCAAAACGGAATAATTTTGCCCTCAGGGATCACCTGGAAATCTCTGGAGAGAGTTGTGGTTGTCACACCTGACATTTTCCCTCTACAGGCCGCTGGTAGAGGCCAGGGGTGCTGCTAAGCATCCTACAGTCACCGGACAGCCCCCACCACAAAGAATTCTCCAGCCCCAAACGTCAACTGTGCCAAGGCTGAGAAACCCTACTCTCTGCTGACTAGGATGTACTAAGCAATGGGTACGGTACTTTAGCCAGAACTGATCCAGTCTTCGCCATGCTTGCTGCTGGGATGTTCAAGTTAAGACAGTCATTCAAATGCAAAGATATAAAATAAAATGTGAAAATATAAATATAATAAAAATAAATAAATAAATAATAAAAATAAATATAATATTATAATAAAATAAGTAAAAAATACATATAAATGTGAAAATATAAAATAAAATGTGAAAATGTGAAATTTTATACCAAAAGTTAGTATCAAAATACATTTTCTTAATTGGTGAAGTGTCATAGCTGTTAACAACTTGGCTTCATAATAAAGAATATGTATATTTAAAAACTATAGTCAGATTATACTCATCTTTGAGGTTTTTAAATTAAAAATATTTCTAAAATATTTTAAGATTTATTTACTTAAGAGAGAGAATGAATGAATGTGGGGGAGAGGGAGGGGCAGAGGGAGAGAGAGCGAGAATCCCAAGCAGACTCCATGCTCAGCATAGAGCCTCATGGGGCTCCATCCCAGAACCCTGAGATCCCGAGCTAAGCCTGAAATCAAGAGTCGGATGCTTAAATGACTGAGCCACCCAGGACCCCTAAAAATATTTCATAATATTTTAAAAAAACAGTTACATAGTACAAATAATAAGACAAGCTGTGAGAGTTAGAGAGAGATGGATAATCTCAAAAACTGGGTATTTCTGGGGGGCGCCTGGGTGGCTCAGTCAGTTGAGTCTGCCTTTGGCTCAGGTGGTGATCCTGGAGTCCTAGGACCGAGCCTGGCATCAGGCTCCCTGCTCAGTGGGGAGCCTGCTTCTCCCTCTCCCTCTGCCCCTACCCCCACACCCCTGGCTCATGCTTTCTCTCTCAAATGGATAAAATCTTAAGAAACCAAAAAAACAGCAACCAAAAAAAAGCCCAAAGAACAACAACAAAAAAGCCACCAAAACCAATAAACAAAAAACAATCCCCCCCCAAAACTTGGGTATCGTTCTTAAAAAAAAGTCTTATTAATAATAGCTAAAATTATTGAGCACTCATGTCACATACCGTTCCATGCATTTTATGCTTTAGTAATTCAATCCTCATTAAAACTTTATTAGAACATACTTTTATTATTATTCCATTATGAAACGAAGGCAGAGAAGAAAGTAACTCACTCAATCAAGATCATACAGCTAGGATCTACCTAAACAGGATTAAAACTCAAACCAGGGGCACCTGTGTGGCTCAGATGGTTGGGCATCTGCCTTTGGCTCTGGTCATGATCTCCACGTCCATGGGATCTCCATGGAATCTCCATGGGATCGAGCCCCATGTCAGGCTCCCTGCTCAGCAGAGTCTGCTTCTCCCTCTCCCTCTGCCTCTCCCCCTGCTTGTGCTCTGTCTCCCTCTCTCAAATGAATAAATAAAATACTAAAAAAAAAAAAAAAAAAAGTTTAAATAAATAAATAAATAAATCAAACCAGTCTGGCCGCAGAACCTATTGTACCTGTACTCTCAATCTACTTGCACACGCTGAGCAGAATTTCTTGCATAATGAGGAGACACCATTCACTAAATTAAACTGTTAACTTCACTGCTGTTGGTCCTCTCAGATAATAAACCACCCGAAATTAAAATGTATCACAGGTATTATTCAGACAAGATCAGGCCACAAGTACAATGCAGTATAAGCCCTCTGACAGGAACTTACAGTTGGTCACATACCTCGGGATCATCCGTGTAATCAAACATTCGGAAGATGACCCGTGGCATCGGGTACACCGAGTCTTCCGTGTGAGGAGGTGGCGTAAAAGGAGGCAGGTTGTGCTGCAGTGCTTCACAAAGGATGCTGTCAAAGGCAAGATAAGGTCTTAGGATGTGCCGCTCCTGCCAGCGATCCTTTTTCAATTTCTGAATCTGGGCCCACAGGCAATCTAAATACTAAAGACAAATTAATTTTTAATAATTAATATATATATTCGGAGGTACATAAAAATTAACATTATGACTACATAAACCAAAAACCATTACCTTATAAAAGACAGGATTCAAAAGTAAGCTAGTTCGCAATTAAATATAGTACAGAGGAACGGTGCTAAGTTTTTGTTTTTAATTACTTTATAAAGTCTACCTGTCTGAGGCTGTGACCACTTCCATTTTCAAACGGGGCATTTAAATAAAAAATAACTGTAACTGGGGTGCCTGGGTGGCTCAGTGGGTTAAGTCTCTGCCTTCGGCTCAGGTCATGATCCCAGGGTCCTGCTCAGCGGGGAGCCTGTTTCCCTCTCTCTCTCTGCCTGCCTCTCTGCCTACTTGTGATCTCTCTCTGTCAAATAAATAAATAAAATCTTTAAAAAAAAATAACTGTAACTGGAATCACACAGAACAGGGAATGCTTTGATTACATTCTAACACTTATTAAAAATCCACTATATGCCAGGGGCGCCTGCATAGCTCAGTCAGTTGAAGTGTCTGACTCTTGATTTCGGCTCAGGTCACGATCTTGGGGTTGGGGGATCAAGCCCCATGTTGCGCTCCATGCTAAGCATGGAGTCTGCTGGAGATTGTCTCTCCCTCTCCGACTGCCGACACTCCCTGACTGACCCCAACCCCTGCCCCTGCACATGTTTTCTCTCTCAAATAAATAAAATCTTAAAAAAAAACCCCACTATACACCTAGAGCTATGAGGAGCTGGACCCCTGATATGGTATGTGGAAAACAAGCGAATGCATATAAACAGAGGGATCTGACTACATCAGAGCTAAGAATCTGCTCAAGAGCTGGCTGTGCTTGTGTCCTGAGACGCTGAGAATCCACTCACCTCTTCTTGCGGGTGTGGTTTCTCAGCCGTCCATACCTGTAACATGGGGACATGTGTCTTTTGGCGTCTTCTAAACATAGAAATAAAAATCTACACTTAGGTTTCTAACAACACAGAAAGATGTTCAGTTGTTTCATAATTAATAAAATGCAAATCAAAGCAGTAAAGTAACATTTTTACCTATCAGATTGGCAGATAACAAAAATTTTGATCATGTATATTGCTGAAATATGGGCAAGCACACAATTTCAAACACTGCTGGCACAGGGGTTAATTGATATCATCTCTTTAGAGGAGATCTGGAAGAGTATAATCTCTTTGGAAGGCCATTTGACTAAGTCTATCAAAATTAAGATTGTTAAGACACTTCAACCCAGCAATGCCTTTTCTAAAAACTCCCACTCTCCACAGATATATTATCTTACGTACATGAAGACACATACATAAGGATATTCACTGAAGCACTGTTTATAATACCAAAAGACTGGAAATAACCTAAATGTCTACTAACAAGGGACTTGTTAAATTATGGTATGTTGAAAGAGTGGAATACTGTAGAGCTGTTAAAAAAGAATGAGGCAGGGACGCCTGGGTGGCTCAGCTGGTTAAGGGTCTGCCTTGGGCTCAGGTCATGATCCCAGGGTGCTGGGATCGAGTCCTACATCAGGCTCCCTGCTCAGTGGGGAGCCTCTTCTCCCCTGCTTGGGCTCACTCTCTCTCTCTGTCAAATAAATAAATAAAATCTTAAAACAAACAGTCAGGCAGTCCTATGTACTTTTATGCAATAAGTTCAAGCTATATTAAGTGGGGAAAAAAAAGCAAGTGAAGAACAGTATGTATACTGGACTACCATTTGTATAAAAAAGGGGAAGGATATATACTCAAATGTTAAGATATTCATATTCTTTTATTTTTATTCTTTTGCAAACACCTACATTCTAAAAAGAACCAGTATGCCTTTCAAAAAACATAAAAATGTTAGAGATTTGCCATTTAAAAGTAACTTAAGAACAAAGGAAATTTTTATCTTTAGACTTCTTGTAACTTTGTTTGTAACTGACTGACTAACAATATCCAAACAAGTTACCTATTGATAGAATATGAAACTTAAAACAAAATTATTCTGAAAGAACTTAAGGGGACACAAAACCATTACCATGCTGCTGGTTAACTGCTAAATTTATGGACAAGCCCTATTGTTAGTATTATACCTAATTAGACAAACCAAGTTTTTGTGCCACTTGGAAGAAAAGGTAATAAGAGGACATGAGACTATTTTAACTGAAATGTGTCATATTATTCAGGAAGTGTGCACTGGGTAGAAGTTATGAGCCACTGTTTTAAGGACTTGGTTTGGGATTAACTTACATGAAATAAATACATTGTATGTGCTAAACCTCTCTCTCCAGTACTGTGATTCAGTAGGTCTGCAGGTTGGGGTCGGAGCCTATTTAAGTACCATTGGTGATTCTATGCACACTACGATTTGAGAACCACTGTGTGAAGACAAAAGATATTTTATGGCTTTGCTAATATGTACCAAAGCGGCTTAAAAGGAGCTATGTTACCAACTCCTTCGCACCAGCAAAGTAAGCAAACATTTGATCACTCTGAGGTCTCAGTAAATTACAACAGTAGGGGAATGAAGTTACTTAGAGGAAGCCATAGGGAAACCCACAGCTTATCTTTGAGAAATGGAAACTAACACGGCAATACTAACAGATACAATACAACACATTCATCATATCAGTAAGAACTATGAGCTGTGTCCTTACTTTAGATAGCTTTCAGTGTTAGCGAAGATGCGGTCCATCTCTGCATCTTTCTTTTCGTACAACTCCTTTCCAACCCAGGGCAAAGACGACAGAAACGCATAAACATACCAATCTCTCCGCACCTGAAGAATTTTTAAAAAGGCAAACTTAAAATGTGTGCTAGTTAATTTTCATACATATTGTGTTTACTTTTGAATGAAATCCTATGGAGGCTTAAGTAAGACACCTTGCTTAATCAGAACATTTCTACCTTTTATTAGTTTTAATTTTATTGGAATCATTTGAATTAACATAGCGATACCAAGAGAACCCACCACTATGGCAGATGACTTAGCCTGCAGATATTAAGAATCTAGAGTGTGATAATATACTGTTATCTTTTGGGTTTGATTACTAAAAGGTCACCAAGTGAAAAATTCTTTGTACTATATGGGTAAGATTCAACATAAGGGGTTTTCTTACCTGAGGTACATCTTCTTCCTGAGTTACACTTACAAAATTTTCAAACATAGCAACCATGGATGGGGCAGCAATGACATGACAATTCACAAGATCAGATAAAAAACGGACCTATTAGGGAAAACAGTTTCTATTAAATCTAAATGTGACAGAATCACACAACAGGCAATCTTGTAATGACTGAGACCACAGGTCTGAAAAACTACCCCTTAAGGCCGAAGCTAGCCTGTGGCCTGTTTTTCTTTTGCATAGCCTGTGAACTAAGAGTGGTTTTGGATAGTTAAATGCTTGAAAAAATCCAAGGGTATTTTACGATTTATACAAATCATATGAAATCAAGTTTCAGTGTCCACAAATAAACCTATATTGGAACACAGCATGCTCACTCATTTATATACTGTCTATAGCTGCTTTTGTTCTACAACAGCAGAGCTGAGTAGTTATGACCGGAACAGGATGACGGACAGGAATCTGCATTTACAGGTTCCCATTCCACAGAGCTACCTCAACCTATCATCTTCTTTTCTGTTCTCTGTGAAAAAATTTTCCCTGGATTACAGAACTGGAAATTTCTGAACGGCTATCTGTTGGATATCCTTTGTGCGCCACTGCTAAGCAGTATTAAGATCCCTGTCATGTGGGAGCTCACAGTCTAGTGGGACGAGCATAATCTCAACCCAAAGGAATGACTCCTATACTAGAGGGTAAATAAAAAGCGTTCTAGGAACAGTGCTAAGGGAGTAGGGGAGAGCATTGTAAAGGAGGTAACACCAGGACTAGGTCATAAAGGATGAGTGAAGTCTGCCTCGAGGGGGGAGCAACAAGACTATTCTAGGCAGAAGGGTTCAAAAGGATGTGTTCAGGGATCTGCAAGTAACCGTTGACAGCTGGAGGGTATATGGGGGGGTGTATGTGTGTGTGTTTATATATATATATATATATATATATATATATATATATATATAGACATATGTATACATATATTATAAGGACAGAGAAACAGATTGGGGCAACCATAAAACGTCAATATGGAATCTGGACTTAATCTTACAGCCTGATTGGTGGCTAACTTTTTTTTGATAACATACTCAATAAAAGAATTTGATCACATGCCTCCAACTCATGTGATATAAACAAACATATGCACCATACTTAAATAAATACATATAATACACACCGGCCCACTGTCAATCCATGTATTACACATTAGTAGGGCTTATTAATTCCATTTTCTTTTAAGATAAATATTTATTTCTGCTAACCCAGTGAATCACCTTATGCACAGGCTTTTAAGACCCTCCACTTTAGAGAATGGGAAAGAACAGGGGTTTGTGATCTATACCAACATGAGCAGAGTGAGTTACAGGAAGACCAGTCTGGTGCCACAGTAGACAATACAGTGAAAGGCAGAGAATCCGGATGCAAAAGAACAGTAAAGAGGCTATTTGAAGAGATGAAGAGGGAGGGAGTGCCTGGTTGGCTTAGTTTAGGGCATGAGACTCTGGATCTTGGGAGTAGTGAGTTCAAGCCCCATGCTGGGCATAAAGCTTACTTAAATAAAAGAAATAAAAAAGCACGAGAGGAAGGTATGAATTATGCCAGAGGCCCTGGAGACAAAAGGGACTGACCAGAGAGCAATTTATAAGGCAGAAGTGACAGGACCTGGGGATTGCTTAAAGGATGAGGGGGCAAAGGGAAGGCAAACATTAACACTCAGGTCCCTAGCTGGGTTATGCAGTAGACAGCAGACCCTGTGTGCAGTTTGGAGAGAAGACAGAATGATGCATTACTTTTAGGAATTTCCAGGCAAGATATCTAAGGGCTATCCAGCAGTATTTGGAACACAGGTCTGGAGCTCAAGAGAAAGGCTGAAACAGGACATTCAGTTACTGACTTGTCAGGATGGGGGTCGTGTCACCCAAATAAAGATGGTTAATAATGCAAAGAGAGAGTAAGAATGCTTCAGGGGAGAGTGTTTAAAGTGAAGTGAGGACAGAATCCTGGGAAACACAAAATGTAAGGGGTAAAGGAAGATGACCCGGTAAAAGGAGACAGAGGAATAGAAGGGAGTGGCAGCAGCAGGAGATCCTGAAATAGTGGTGTTGCAGAAACCCAAGACAAAAAAGGAGTGTAAAGCATCACGTGCTATAGGAAGGTCAACTAGGATTTAAGAGTGAAAAGAAGCCACTGGATTTGGTAATGAGCTCTGTGGTACCTTAAGTGAGAATGGTTTCAGAAGAGCAGCTACTGTGGTGAGTGGGGAACTCTATTTCAGAAGAAAGGATAAATTCGTTGGTTGTAGCTCACTTCTCTCCATCCCAACACTACGTCATAATACACCAAAAAAGTAACTTACCAAATATACAGCTTCATTATAATTGTTTGCTTTTAATGATTCCTTAAGTTGTCGAATCATAGCTTCTACAAACTCTCCACCAAAGTTGTAATTCCTGGCATTCAGCAGTCCAACTAATGTTGTATAAATTGTCAACTTCTCAGGTAACAGGCGTGCACTGATTTGAGAACCCAGTACAAGAAAACCCCAAAACAACAGTATTATGTTAAGTTGCTCAATTCTATATTATATAAATCTTTTATCATTTTACCAACATTGGAACAGAGTTACTTTGAGCAATATTTAAGAAAAAAATTTTTAAGGGTTTTATTTAGAAGACAGAGAGAGAGAGAGAGAGTGCACAAAAGCAGGGGAAGAGGCAGAGAGAAGGGGAGAAGCAGAATCCCCACTGAGCAGGGAGCCCAATGCAGGGCTCAATCCCAGGACCCTGGGATCATGACCTGGTCTGAAGGCAGATCCTTAACCAACAGAGCCACCCAGGTGCCCCATACTTTGAGTTATATTTTTAAAACTACTTCAGAAAAGGCACAAATGTTGAGACGAGTTGCAGACATGACCCCTGAGATTTTTCATTTTATTTCTAGCTAATCCACAAATTAGGTAAAACACTTTAATTATAAAGTTATCAAACTAAAATAAATATAATTAATGCTAGACCAGTTTTTCTTCCAATGTGTTTAGTGAACTCTAAGAGTAGTTCTACAGAAGATGTTTCCACGGTAAAACATCTGGGGAATGCTGGGTGAAACCAGTTTCTTTAATGTGGAATCATTAAGGGGGAGATAGAACATCACTATTTCTAAACTTAGCTAACCAAATGTCACAGGATCAGAATTCCACTTTGAGAAACACCATTCTAGTTGCTAAGAAAAAATTCGGAACTAAAACCACTTCCAACTAGGTTCCTATCAGTATAAATTGCTGAATGTCAAGATGGTACTTGGACATAGTAATATTTCTTTACATCCCAGTTTGCTTACTCTAGGTGTGTTAATTTTCATTAAAGTTATTTGAAAAGCAGGGAAGAGGATTATAATAATTAACCTTTGGAAAAAGGAAATGCTGTTTCCTAATTTAGGTAGCCTTTAGAAATTCTCTCAAAAAGAAAAGCAAATAGGAGCTAATCATCAGTCAGACTCTTACACATTTTGTGTTTTCCCAAGGTGCCTAGCAGAGCAGTAGGGACAATTTAGGTTTAAAAAAATACTTGCTCTGAGAGTAACCATCTTCTCCACCCCCAAAGTCATGGTTTCCATCACAGTTTTAGCATAAATCTCTTCTATTTTAATAAACACTTTCAAAACAGAAGGCACCTTCTAGATCACTACAGCAAAATAATTTTTCTTAGTCATTTCTTAGTCTAAGGACAGGTCTTCTTGAATATGAATTGGATTTCTTTCAAAAACTAGAACCCAAATAATTTGTACTTTATGAGAGGTTAAAATGAAATCTACTGATAGCTATGATTTATGCATACATTTTTAAATTTCAAAAATGAGCTGCAAGCATTAATCAAAATATTTGAAATAACTTACAAGTCAACTTCATGTTTGAAATTTTAAAATACCTAATAATATAAAGTACAGCACAAAGACCCCTTTTATCTAAAAGTTGTGACCATTTCTTTGCAAAGCATAAAATTCAGAATGATCAATGTCCATCTGACAGATGCGAAAGCCTGGATTGTTAATTCCACCATGGGAGAGACTGTTTCATGATTTCTTGAGACTTTTCCCACTTTAATTTACTCATGGATTAAATAATATTTGTTCTAGCTAACTTAACTCAAAGAAAGATTAAACAAAGTAATAGCTTCAAAAGCTTCTTCGGTCTTCTAAGAAGGACTATTACTCAAGTGACCAGTTCCCACATTTGTTTGGTACTACTGGCTAAAAATACACATTAAACTCTTATATTAAATGCATATGCTTAAAAGAAAAATCTCTGAATGTGAAAAGTGTCTACTTTCTCACTTAAAAATAGTCAACTCAAATGATTTGAAAGTTCCAAGAAACAAAATGTAAGGAAAATGCTCAATTTTAGTCTTATTTATCTCTAAGAAAAAAAGAGTACACAAAGTTCATTTTGTTCATATAAATTTCCCATTAGAAGAAAAGCTAATGAAATATGAATGTAAACACATCTTTTGCACATTCCCAAAGCATTTAAGAGTAGATAATACATTATCACCTGGATTCATAAATCTTTTGCATACATACACTGTACAAAGAAGCCTTAAGATCTTGCTCTTGTAGTTAGGAAGATCAGCTTCTAAAACACCTGCCAAGCCTTCTAGGTTGCTCTCCAGAGAGCAGGCACTCTGTAGAGGACAGCATATCAAATATCTGTTAAGTACTCAGCAATTAGTGAGTTAAAATTTTCTATGTGGTCATAAAAAAAGTTAAAGCCTTACATGCATAAGGCACTATGACAGGTTTAGTATAAACCAATTCAGGTAATTACTGTTCTTTAGAAATCCATAAAAAGAGAATAATGAAATTTTCAAAGCAAGCAGTCTAAGGTAGCAGAATAAGAATCAGAAATGGGGGGACATCATTGGCTCTCTTGTATCTCACACTTAATATATGACTCTGAGCAAATTACCTCGGGTATCCAGAACTTGTTTGGTTCATTACTTATAAACTGAGAGGGTTATTCCTTAAGGTCTCTTCTAAGATTCATATTTATGTTGTATGACGGTTACTAAAAACATTTAACTCTTAATTATCTGCATCCCAAGGGTTTAAAATGAATTTACATTGGGATACAGATTAATGGTAATACAAGTTTCACCTAAAACCTAGATCACCAAGTTTCAGCTGCAGAAATGAATCAAGCACGGTCAACTACAACCCTAACCCCATCACAGTTTGGGCCTATTTGGCACATACCTTTTCTCCCACTTTGCATATTAACGATTCCAAATGATCTTCAGTTTCATTGGCATCAGAGGTCTTTCTCCTTTTGTGAGGCTGTCCTCCTGTTTCAACAATGTAAAAAAATTAGTATTACATGATGAATCCACTATTGCAAATTTTACTTAACCTTTTAAATACTAGTATCTCTTTCCTACCAGAAACTCTAGTTTTTACAGAAGCTCTTAACTGACCCACCACCTCTCTGACTGGGCTAGCTAGATTCACCAAAGGTCTCCATACCCATGGACACTGTTGTAACTCCAAAAGGCATTCGTTATATTCAATTTGCTGTGACTAGTGCCCCATGAGGCTATGCAAGGCAGCAGCCCTGTCCACTCCTGGGGATAGATAGGAACGCTGCTTACAACATCCTAACCACTGTAGTTATTCTGTGGAACATGGAATAACTGTACTGTTATTGTACTGTACTGTACTGCTACTCCCATTCTTTAGACAGAATTGTTCACCGATCTTCAGCTGCTTGGTCCTAAAGCCTCCTATTGCCAGCAGTACTCATTATTCTAGTAATAAAAATTATTTTGTAAACTGATGAAATATGGGTACAAAAACCAAGCTAAATGCTTTGGAAAGACTAGACTAGGCAAAAAAAAAGGGGGGGGACAACTTCAGAAGATGGGAAAGGGAACATAAAACATCAGGATTCCTCACTAGTTTCACAGGAGTCTGAACTTTTAACTCTTCAATTAATAGCTTTGGTTCTGTAGACCATGCAGCATTAGGGTATTGCTTACCCCAAGCAATGGGAATCATAATCAACAGACAAATACTCAAAGAAACATCCTGAGCACTTTATCAAATAATTGGTGGGGGAAAAGTATGTTTTATCATTTCCTACTTCAACCACTAGTCTATTATATTAAAAAACTGTATCATTCAAAGAATCTTAAAAAAAAAAAAAAAAACTACCACACTGAAATCATTACCCATCATCCACCTGTCCTTTTGGTTGCTGAAGAATTCAAGGTGAACAAACTATGAATCAACTTAGGTACTGGACTGTCTACTATTGTTCAGATTCTTACTATTAATCATCTCTTACCATTATGTTTAAAACCTTAATACACACACCTTATATCCTTTTGTGGGATAACCTACTGCTTAGAATTTTTAAATTAATAGTGTTAAGTATAGAACATGATGCTGTTGATAAACACAATGTTGGCTAGTCTCCCAATATAATTCAATTTTGATTTCCACCGATTAGATTTTTAGGACAGCATGTGAACAAGGAAGCAATACTCTGTAACAGTGTTAGGGATCTGCATTAATAATGAAATCTGCACTTGGATCTAGAATTACCTAGAAGTAAGTTAAATATAACCTCAATCTTCTCCAGACTTGTATAGACAAAGGAACTGGGCCATTTTTATAGAATTCATAATCACTTACTTGCCACTGTTACATCTGGCTTGAAATATATGGTGATTCTTAAAAAAAAAACAGCACTCCACTATCCTAAGCTTGGGTGTTGAAAGTCTCTTTAATGACTGAAATGATCTTCAAGTACCACTTGAACTTAGCTGAATAAAACCAATCTGTTACAATCCAGATAGGACCAGATGGAAGTGCTATACAAGGCCACAGAGTAAAGCACTTTGTGCTTTGACCCCCCTGACCCCTTGTTGTTATTATGATCTGGCTTAAATAATAAATGAATATAGTTTTGAAAGGATAATGACATAAAAAGATTTAACACACACGCAGTGTTACAGAGCTAAGATGTATTCCTGGAGATCCCAGCCCATGTAAAGTAGACATGTGTGACACAGTGGAATCAGTGACCTTCATTCTCAAGTATACATCAAACCTACTACATTACAGGATCTATAATGGTTCCATCACCCAAACAGCCAACTTTGACACGAAAGTCTTCTATTTCTAGGATCTATTTCTAGGATTTATTCACTGAAAAAACCCTCATATTCAAAGCAATGTTTATATAAGCTGACAGCCAGGATGTTAAAATAGCAGTGGTTCTTAATTGGGTGAGTTTTGCCCCCGCTAGGGGCAGCGTGGCAATCTCTGGAGACATTTTTAGCTGTCACAACTGGGGGAGTGCTACTGACATCCAGTGGGTAGAGGCCATGGATTCTGCTAAACATATTACATTGCCTAGGACAACTCCCAACAACAAAGAATAATCTAGCCCGAAATGTCAATGATGGCTGAGCAACTCTGTCTAGAAAGCAGGATATACTAACAGTGTTCTTCAGAACCAGATTCCGGTAAGGTTGGGAAAAGCAGATAGTGAAAAACTAGCTGAATGAGAGCATTTTTTTGTTTTTTTATTATTGTTTTTTAAACTTTAACTACCATTACTTTCTTTCTGGCCCATCTACTCCACTCACCCTTTATCTCACATCCCACCCTCCACATCCTCCCTAAATTACTCTCCAGCTGGCTTGTTCCCAAATCAATCTGGAATCATATTCCACTGTTTAAAGCAACCCTCCCAGACCCTCTTGTAACCTAGAAAAGGAGAAAATAATGCAGTAGGAGAGAAGGTAGGATTTCTGAAGAAAACAGAAAATACAAGTACATGGTCCTCCCTGAGCTACAACTCCTATTTTCTCTCTTGCCATTCTGACTATAAGAAAGCACACGTTTTGTTTGGAGAATGGGAGGAGGCAGAAAGTATTAAGCAGATATGCCCTACTCTCACCTGATATTTGAGAGGATATGAAGGAGAGGTGGTACAATTACAGACATATCTGAACTCATGACAGTACAGGATATTGAACTCAGAAGAGAACCTGGGCACACAGAATAAAGCATCTTCATTAAGAATAAAATTTTGGGAATTAGCCAAATGTTTTCATATGCCCTCAAGAAAACCTATCTATGGTAGCTCCCAAAGCAAGAACAGATTTTATATTAAATGTAACAACACAGCAGTTTTACAATATAGATTCAAGTTACATATTGCCACTTCATTCTGATACCCTTGGCTAGTTTAGGAGAGAAACAGAGGCAGGTCTTTATTAAAACACATTTGTGGGCACCTGGGTAGCTCAGAGGGTTGAGCCTCTGACTCTTAGTTTCTGCTCAGGTCATGATCCGAGGGTCATGAGGAAGAACCCCCGCATCAGGCTCCACAGTGGACATGGAGTCTGCTTGAGATTCTGTCTCTTCCTCTGCCCTTCCCCCTGCTTGTATGTGCACTCTCTCTCTAATAAATAAATCTTAAAAATTTTTTTTGAAAGGATCTCCATACACTAGTATTTTCTCTGTAAGACAAATCCTAACTTTATATGGATATACTGAACTACATCTTAAACCCTTAATTATTATAAAACCCACAAACTGGAAAACAAAGACCAACCCTATAAGAAAGAAAGTAAAGTAGCAAAACCAACCAGGTAAAAGGCAAAAGTAAAGTACCTTGATTTTGGAGATTTACGGCAGAGGTGACTATCATGCCTGAAACAAACTATACGCTTTCCTGGAGTAACAAATCCTTTCACCTCTAATCATTTTTTGTACAGTTAAGTTAAAAAAGTAGTCATAGTCTAAAAGATAAGGACCTAATTCTAAGTAGCTTAAAAATGGGTTAATATGGGTTTTTGACAAAGGTTATGATGATATACTTTCTCAGAAGAACAAAATAAGCAAAGTACTGAACAGCTGTTATATGTATATCCTATAATAACTGAAAAGCTTCAGAGAAATTCTTAAAGGTATTCTAAGAAATGAGTTAGATTTAGCATTGAACCAGTATCCACACACACTGATTTCCAATTTAGGGTTTCCCTTTCCTTCTCTACAAATTGAACTCCACTCCGGCAGAACTAGACTGGTAGTTTCCTAACTTATTTCCCTGGATCCTGGATACTCTAGTCTCAACAAAGAGATACAATTTTAAAACTCTATGAGCTTTAACTCTATTAAGCCCTCTATGAGCTGATCCTCCCAACCTCTCTGATCTTAGTTCCTACAACTTCCCCAACCCCACCTCTCCCACTCCGCTCTGCTCCAGGGACACTGGCCTTGAATGCTCCAGCTTTAAGTCCTCTGCACTCACGGTTCTCTTTTCTTAGACCACTGCTTTTCCCCATACAGCCACCTGGTTTGCTCCCTTATTTCCTGCAAGTCTTTGATCAGATGCCATTCATAGTGCAGCCTTTCCTGATCAACCCTAATAAAACAGCAAATCCACCTCGCCAACAGTCTCTACCCTCTTTACCCATTTTCATTTTTCTCCACAGCACTTACCACCATGTGATGCACTATATTTTATTTGATTGTGTTCTGTCTGTAAAAGGGAGGCTTAGCCATTACACTGTTCACTACTATACTGCCAGTAGTTAGGACAGTGCCTGGCACTGTTAAATGCTTGTTGAATAAATGATTGTATCTTGTCAAGCATATGGAAAGTCATGGCAGCCAGTGACAGATAAGAGCTGACAATAATCCAGAAGTGCTCAAATGTATCAAATTAATTACGACTACTACAATTCAGGCTATTTTAAAATAGCCTTCTATAACATTTAAATGTCTACTATTTCAGATATTCAAAAATCAGTAGATACTTAGCTAAAATATTTAGCTTACTGTTTAGGGTAAACCCCAGCTGATTATTACCCAAATTGTGGCAATTTATAAAAGTTCCAGATTTGGTAGAGTATCCCAGAAAACTATAAACTCCCCCTCTACTACTAAATTATTGACCAGAGTAAACTTTAATTAATTCATTTTACTTCTTTTTGTCTTAATTATTCTTATTTTGTCTTAATTATTCCAAATGGACCATGATTTACTATCCAGCTGGTATTAAAAGAAACTAACTCCCAAGAAAGTTATGCCACCATCACAGTAGCAAAAGCAAAAGTTGTTTTCTACATATTCACATTCAATTCTCCAGGTTGCTCTCTGGAAACATTTTCTCTCCCTTTAAGGGTGCCCCAGAAGGGAGAAGAGTGGAGAAAAGCAAGAAAATGGGAAGAACTTTAAAAGACTCGAGTTCCCTAAACCCCAAGCAATCACTTCAAGCACATTAATTTTAATAAATCCAACTCAAAGCATATGAAAACTGTATTTTCTGTGCCCTGTATGTCCATTATACAAAAAACCTCATGTGTTTAGGAAAAAAAAAAAAAAAAAATCTAAGCACGCAGCATAGAATACTTGGGTAGTGAAGAGAACCCTGGACGTGCTTTCACCAGTGTCTGGGCGCTGCTAGCTGTCTCCATGTTTATTGCACTAAAACTCTGGATCCTTAGGTATCAGATAAGGATGAACTAGAATATTCTCTCAAGCCATTCCCTAGCAGAGATCCAATGTTTCATTATTAAAACCAAAGACATGTGATTCTGTTCCTACTCCCAAATGTCCCAAAACTCAAGGATAAGAAAATGTTAGTGAAGAAAATTAATTAAATAAAACATTTTCTTCCATATTTTTTCTTACATCATTGACATCTGCCAATGTTTGTCAGTTCTTCAGCATTAACAGATGATAAGTAAATATCATCATGAGATATTTGTTACATGTATTAACTCCACCCTCATAAAACTGAGAAGAGGTTATGTATCACTACATTATAGACTTCTACTTTACATTTCTACATTACAGACTAAGCCTTACAGAGGTGAGAGAATCTGGGAAAGATCATGAAGTAATGATAGAGTCTAGCTTTGAACTTAAACCCTCTGATTCCAAAGTCTGGCCTCTTAACCACCACACCACATCCCTTTTAAAGAACAATAAGCTACAATATAACAACAGAATTACTCGATTTCTTCCTTGTTTGGTGGACGTATGTTTTTGACGCATTTCTGTAATGTAAGCATCTTTTCCTGTTGTTTTTTTTTTTTAAGATTTTATTTATTTATTTGACAGAGAGAGAGATATCACAAGTAGGCACAGAAAGGGGGGGAAAGCAGGCTCCCTGCTGAGCAGAGAGCCCGATGTGGGGCTCGATCCCAGGACTCTGAGATCATGACCTGAGCCGAAGGCAGTGGCTTAACCCACTGAGCCACCCAGGCGCCCCATCCTTTCCTGTTTTTAGCAAAATTATCCTTGGTTTTTATGGTGGCAACATCATGATCCCCTGGAGCGCAAACCATCCAAATGGAGTAGAGAACCCCTGATCTCAATCCCTAAGTGGTCTCCAGTTAGTTTTCCGGCACTTTTCTCTTCAAGAGGGAAATACACTTGCAGCTAGTTCGAAATCTACCGTAACAACGTGCATCTGTTTATTGGTAAACAGATGTGGGTGAGTGTGGGTAACAGACTTCTCTCCTTGCAGCATGAGAGAAGGCAAACCAACGGATGACGGGGGCAGCAGGGCTCTCAGACTGCGGTTCATCAGATCTCCCACTCACCGCTTTGTTTCTTCCCTTCTGGGAGCCCTTTTTCAGGTGCAGTCTGAGGGTCAAAACGAGACACCGGGACCAGTGGGTACCTGTCACTGTGCCTAAGAGGTGGCCGCACAGACCCAGGTGTGCTTCCCTACTCGGCGGTACTGAAGACCAGATCCTGAGAAGTCCTTACAGACCAGAGGTCCACGGGGCCAACCACTAAAGGAGGTGGGGAGGAGGACAGCGGGAGGCTTTTTAGAAGTCGCTCGGCCACATTCCCGCTCTGCCTGCCTGGTCCCCCAAACGCTGCCGGGGTGTGGGGGTGTGTGGGTGGGTGGGGGGGCTTCCCATCCCTTTCCTCGAGTCCCCGAGACCTCGGCCCCCGCGTGGGTGCGGCCTCGGCGGTCGGGCCGAGGGCACTCACCGTCGTTCTCGTCGCTGTGCCGCCGCCGGGACATGCCGCACGCCGGGGCGCTGCCGAGCTGAGAGAGGCCGGGAGGGGAGCGCGGTAGGAACTGTCGGGCCGCCGGCGGGTGAGAGGACAGCGACAAGGCGCGCGCGGTGGCAGGCGCGCAGGCGCACTCGCTCCCGACGGGTGCAGCAGCGCAAGCTGGAGAGGCGGCCGGCTGGGCTCGGCTGGTTCGGGTGCCCGAGAGCCGGCGTCTGGAAGCTCACCAGGCCCAGAGCGTCCGGTCCGCACGCAACCACCCCCTCGGGCTTCCTCCGCCTTTCGGCTGCTTCCTTCTCCCGCCTTTCGCTCTAAGTCCTTCCGGGGACACGCGGAAAGCACCGCCTCTTCAGCCAGCGGGAGGCCGCCGGCCGCGAGCCAAACCTGACGGCTGCTGGTCCACCGCGCACACTGGAGTCCCCGCCTCAACTTCAGACCCTCCCCCGGGCTCGCGGTATTTCCCGGCAGCCCTTTCGCCATCAACACTCCCCCCCCCCCCCAAGACTTCCGGGGCGAGGCGACGTCTCCAAGGGTTCCTTCCTCCGTGAACTCAGGTCGGGGACCGGTGGAGGGTCTTGGGACGGGGAGCTGTGAGTATTGCTAGGCGAACACGGCTCGATGAAGAGAGAACTAAGAAAGGACCGGGACTGGCGGGTGCGTGCTCCTCTTACTCCCACTTCCGGGCCTTTGCCTTGTCGGGAAAGCCGGGCGGAACGATTGGCCCGGCCCGGCGCGCGGGGTGGGGCCGGTCGGGGGGCGGCGCCGCGCTTGCGGCTCCAGGCACTGGAGACCCGCCAGAGAAAGATCCTCCTGCTACGGGGTTACTCTGGCGGTCGTCCTGCCCGTCACCCTTCTCAGTTATTTGGTAAGGAACAGGTGATTGCTTTAGTAATGTTTTCAATATTGGGTCCCTGTTTACATGGATGTGAACGTCCCCTGCCCTGGCGTCTCTGATGAGCACCACACCTGCTTATCTGACTGCTTTGTCCGTGGTCACTGAAATTCCACACGTCGAACTGGAGCTCTTGTTTCAGTCTCCTGTCCTAACCTATTCCTGTCAGTCATACCCATTTCAGTGAATGGCACCATCCATCTGATTGCTTCATCCAAAAGTGTAGGTGGGAGTCATTCTTGGGTCCTCCTTTTCCTTTACTTCTTACATAACAGTCTATCTGTAAATTTTGCCAGCTCTACTTTCAAGACAAATCCAGAATCAGACCACGTTACGCCTTTGCTTACAACACTCCAGTTACTTTGCATTGCAAACTCCATACCCTGACCTCCAGGGTTGTGCTCTCTCATCACTGCCCTGCATCCATTCTTTCTTCCTGTTTCCTTAAAAGAAAAGCTACTGGGCGCCTGGGTGGCTCAGTTGGTTAAGCAACTGCCTTCCGCTCAGGTCATGATCCTGGAGTCCCAGGATGCAGTCCCGCATCAGGCACCCTGCGCAGTGGGGAGTCTTTCTCCCTCTGACCTCTTCCTTTTCATGCTCTCTCTTTCTCTCAAATAAGTAAATAGAATCTTTATATTAAAAATAAATAAATAAAAAGCAAGCTACTTCCCACTTGAGGAATTTATACTATTTCCTCTGCCTCTGCTCTTAAATCTGCATGGATGGCTCCTTGTCCTTTAGGTATCAGCTCAAACATCAAGTCCTTAGTGAAGCCTGTCTTGGCTATCCAATCACTGCTTTATTTCATTCTACAAATGCTGTACTTACTGACATTTAGCATCTTCTGTATGCCAGGCAGTGCTAAGGGTGAAGAGGTGAACAAAGGAAGACCCTTGCTTTCTTGGTGCTAGTGATCCATTCAGGAATGAACAGACATAGTGCAGTCAGAAGAGTGATCAAAGGGACAGTAGTAGAAGAGACTAGAGAGGTGGTGGTGGGAGGGGCTTTGGAAGGACTTTAAACTTTATCAGAGTATGTTGAGAAGTCTGGACTACTTTTAGTAAACTCTCTGAGGAAGAGGGCAGTTAGGCTATTGCAGTAATTCAGTCAAGAAATGATGGTGGCTTGGGATGCCTGGGTGGCTCTGTGGGTTGAGCATCTGCCTTTAGCTCAGGTCCTGGTCTTGGGCTCCTGCTCAGGGTGGGGCGGTGGGGGTCTGCTTCTCCCTCTCTCTCTCTGACCCTCCTCCCCACTTGTGCTCTCTCTCTGCTCAAATAAATAAAAAAAAAAAACGATGGTGGTTTGAATGGGGTTGGTAATATGTCCATTTTGACAAGATTTGGCCACACTAGAGATTTTTATATTTTATATTTCTGTTTATTAAAATGGGGCTTTCTTAGTTGTTATGTCATCTAAGGAATGGAATTTGCACAGCTCTAAAATTAAAGGGCAAAGAACAACAAAGTGTTTATAACTGAAGGTACTAGCACGTAGCTTGGTTGATTTTGGTTGTACCTGGTGCTTTTCTGGTATCATTTACCTTAAATGTTTGTAGGGCTAACCCCTAAATGAGGTTCCTGCTCAAATGCTACTGCCTCAGAAAGACTTTACCTACTATCTGTTTTTAAGAGTCCCTCTATCAGGGGCACCTGGGTGGCTCAGTGGGTTAAAGCCTCTGCCTTCTGCTCGGGTCGTGATCCCAGGGTCCTGGGATCGAGCCCCACATCGGGCTCTCTGCTCAGTGTGGAGCCTGCTTCCTCCTCTCTCTCTCTCTCTGCCTGCCTCTCTGCCTACTTGAGATCTGTCTGTCAAATAAATAAATAAAAATCTTAAAAAAAAAAAAAAAAGAGTCCCTCTATCACTCCTGACTCCCTACCCTGCTTTTCGTCTTTGTGGGCCCTTTTTCCTACCTGACTTTTTAAATTTAATCAATATATTCATTTGTTTATTTTCTTTCTCTTCCCACTGGAATATAAACCCCAAGAAAGCAGAGAATTTTTCTGTTTCTTTCACTGCTCTATTCCCATTGTCTAGAATAGTGCTTGGCATAGAGTAGGTGCTAAACAATTATTTGTTGAATGAATGAGTGAATGGCTTGGGCTGCTGGGCCCGTGCTCATTTGCCTGACTGATTGATTCATTTCAAGTTTACTTCAGGTAGAATCAAAGACTGACATTGTTGTTTCTCCCTTGCTTCCTAGGAGAAAGTGAACTGAAAGGAACCTGCTCTACAACTGCAATCAAACCAGATGCCTTCTTTCACTTCACCAGACCAAGGAGATGACCTGGAGGCCTGTGTTTTAAGATTTTCCGACCTAGATTTAAAAGACACAAGGCTTATCAATCCCAGTAGCAGTCTCAAAGCAGAGTTAGATGTCAGTACAAAGAAGAAATACCCATATGCCAAGAAAAAGGTAAAATGGCTATATGGCTCTTATTTCAGGATTGTGTATGATGGTTAACTCAGATACATCTATTAGTAGCTCATCAGTCATCAAGGTTTTCCTCCAGGGAGCAGGAGGCTGCTGCCATGTTCAAAGTAAGTTCTAGTCAGGGTCATGATCCAGTGATCTTAAGTCAGTGCCAGGCAAAGAAGAATCATGGGCAAGGTGTGGCTCTGTAACAGTTATGGTTGAGTACTTGAGGATAGATCCTAGACATATGGGCTGGATTTTTTTTTTCCCACCTAGGGTTAGAATCACAGGAACCTAGGAGACCTTGTCATTAGGAGAACAGATAGGCAGTAGGATAGTTGCCATGTAAGGCTCCTGACTGATCTAGCTGGCTGGGTTCTCGGTTAGGAGAAAGATGGAACAGCCCAGAATGGTTGTGCAAGCTTACTGAGGACAGTTGGGATTGGATTGTAATGGGAGGTCCATTGATACGCTGCTCTTCTATGTCATTTATCCTTTTTTCAGAGATCATTATCTCAAACCTCCTCCTCTTGAAGCCCGAGGAAGGAACATGACTTGGCCGAGGACATGCAATTGCGACTCAGTTTTCTCACCTCCAGTCTGCTGTCCTTCTGCAGTTAGTTTTTGTTGACTTCACATCAGTGAAGAATAGATGTCTTCATTACTTATAACTTCTAATCTGTTCCCCTGTGCTCTCAGTCTCACACAGATGTCCTTGAAAATGGAACCCAAAGGGTACAGAAAGGTTTTTTCAAATACCATCCTGCAATAATTTCAGACTTAGAGAAAAGTTGCCAGAATTGTATTGAGGATCCTCATATCCCCTTGCACACAAGCTCCATTCATGTTTCATCAGGTGTCCCAAATGGCTTTTATAGATCTACTCTAGGGTCACATGTTACATTGAGTTGCCATATCTTATATCCTCCTCAGTTTGGAGCACTCTCTCGTTTTTTCTACCCTGAAATTATGACCATGATATATTTGAAGATTGCATGAGTTATTTTGTAGACTACCCCTTTGATTTTCACTCATGTTTCCTTACCATTAGATTGAGATTAGTGCTTTTTTTTTTTAATAAGACTATTCCACAAGAGATGCTCTGTTCATCTGGCTACAGTCTATCAGGTGGTTCACAGTGGCCGTTTGTCCCAAATTGGTGATGTTAACTTTGGTTACTTGGTTAAGGGAGTGCCTGTCAGATTTTTCTGCTATAAAAATATTTTCCCCCCTTTTAATTGCTCAGTATTCTGGGGGGAAATGGTTTGGGACTGTGTAATCATCTTATTCCTCATCCAACTGTCATCTGTCAGTTTTAGATTCTTTGATGTTTGTTTGCTTAGTTGATTGTTACTATGAAGGTTGCCAAAGGGTGATTTTCTAGTTGCTTCATTCCTTCTAGATTTGTTCTTCTAGATTCCTTCTAGATAGTGTTTGGCATTCCGCTGTAAGGAAGAGCTTTCTTTTCTCCCGATTTATTTGTATCCATGTGGACTCAGGTTACATTTTATTTGTTGAGTTATAGGCCATTATGTTACTATTGATTTTGATGCTCAGATTATCTCAGATTTGGCTGAGAGCCCTTTCAAGCTAGTATCTGTGTCCTTTCGACTTGCTCCCATCATTCTTTGAGCATTTCCTCACTTTCTGACTGAACAAAGTATTCCAGGCTCATCTTGAATTTTTTCTGACCCATCCCTGGAATCAAACATTTCTTCAAGGAGCTCTGGTTCCTTCTAGCAGAGTACTGTCAAAAACCAAAACCTGGAGGCTCGGCAAGCTCTTTGCTACTAAATGTTGCCTCTCCTAGGACCTCTGATGTATGGAGCTAGGAAACTATATAGATAAATACACAAATGTCTACATGTACTATACATAAACTTCTATACATACGTACATACACTTCTATATTTACTACTCAATATGAACCAGTTCTATTCCAGCCTCATAAGAGTTTTTCCTAA